ATATATATATATATCCAGTTAATACGGTATTAACTGTTTACGTAAAGGTTGGGTGCCGAGGAGGAAGAGATCAAGACCGGTTTGGCAACCGCAAGCACGCTTCAACCGGTTCAAGGGTTTCCGTAACGGTCAACTACCGTTAAAGATGACGGAAAGAGCGCGCGCCGTCTACAACACCGTTGGCCACAGAAAGCTTCTCCAAACGGACGGAGACGCACTCAGCGTTATGGTGAGCGACACCGTGATAGTGAGTCAAGACGGAACGGGGAACTTCAGCAGCATAAACGACGCCGTATCAGCAGCGCCCAACAACACAAACGGCGCTAACGGCTACTTCTTGATATACGTGATGGAGGGAGTGTACGAGGAATACGTGTCGATCCCAAAGAACAAGAAGTACTTGATGATGATCGGCGACGGGATCAACCGTACGATCATCACCGGAAACCGTAGCGTCGGTGATGGATGGACCACCTTCAATTCCGCCACATTTAGTAAGTAGATATTTAATCCGCACCATTTTTTTTTTAATTTACCCTTTAATTTAACATTAATCCAAAAAAAATGACATGTGCACATAGTTTCACGTGGTAAAAAACATTAAATTGACAACTTGGGTCACATAAAAATTAACATATTTTACAAATGAAGTTTTCGCATTTTATTTTTATTAGATATGAAGTAATTTATGGTCAACCCTATCAAAATATATATTAAAATCTTTTAAGAATAACATATGTCTCCCCGAATCAACATCGTTGAAAATAAGAAGACATGTGGAAGACAGCCTTTTTTTTTTCAATTTTAAAGTTGATTCATCTCGCCATGCAAAAGCTCCTTTTTCTATATGATTAATTAATTATATTACATCAAAGTAATTGGCACTCTTACTTTCTTTCGATGTTCCTTTCAATGCACATATTACGTCCACCGAAAGTCTAATTCCACGTCAGCTTATCTTCATGGCCCCACGTGGAAAATCAAGTCCTCTCCCACCTATGGCTGTCACCGCATCTGAATAAACTAAGTTTAAAATTTCCAAATCAATATAATTTTATTCACGACCACTAAGTAACGAATCCAACTATCTTTTTTTTTTATATAAAAAAATAACATTAAATATGTTTTTTTTTGCACTCTTTGGCAGTTGTGGTGGCACCGAACTTCATAGGTGTAAACATGACGATGAGGAACACGGCGGGGCCGACAAAGGGTCAGGCCGTGGCGTTGAGGAGCGGCGGAGACCTCAACGTGTTCTACAGTTGCAGCTTCGAAGCCTATCAAGACACTCTATACACACATTCCCTTAGACAGTTTTACCGTGAATGCGATGTTTACGGTACGGTCGATTTTATATTCGGAAATGCCGCCGTCATCTTCCAAAATTGCAATTTATTTCCACGTCAGCCTCGTCAAGGCCAAGGCAATGAGGTTACCGCCCAGGGCCGCACTGATCCCAACCAGAACACAGGTATCTATCTCATCACATCGGGTTTTTTTTT